AAAGCTGTGAAGTTTAAAGACCCCATCCCTATACTATGGGGACAAATGAAGTTTAAAGACCCCTGCCCTATACTATGGGGACAAATGATGTCCAGTCAAACCCTAACAGAGTTGGAAGGGACCTTGGAGGTCTTCTAGTCCAACCCCTTGCCTAGGCAGGAAACCCTACACCACTTCAGACAAGTGGTTATCCAACATCTTTTTAAAAACTTCCAGTGTTGGAGCACCCACAATTTCTGAAGGGATGTTGTTCCACTGCTTATTTGTTCTCCCTGTCAGGAAATTCCTCCTTAGTTCTAAGTTGCTTCTCTCCTTGATTAGTTTCCACCTGTTGCTTCTTGTTCTGCCTTCAGGGGCTTTGGAGAATAGCTTGACTCCCCTCTTATTTGGGGCAGCCCCTCAAAATATTGGAAGACTGCCCTCATGTGTCCCCTAGTCCTTCTTTTCATTAGACTAGACATACCCAGTTCCAGCAACCGTTCTTCATATGATGAATTGTTGTGGGAATTGGGGATGTCTAGTTTAACCATCTGACGAACGGTTGCAGAAACTGGGTATGTCTGGTTTAAGGAAGAGAAGGACTCGGGGAGACATGATAGCAGTCTTCCAATATTTGAAGGGCTGCCCCAAAGAAGAGGGAGTCAAGCTATTCTCCAAAGCCCCTGAAGGCAGAACAAGAAGCAACGGGTGGAAATTAATCAAGGAGAGAAGCAACTTAGAACTAAGGAGGAATTTCCTGGCAATGAGAACAATTCATCAGTGGAACAGCTTCCCCCCAGAAATTGTGGGATTCCATCACTGGAGGTTTTGAAGAAAAGATTGATTAGCCATTTGCCCAGAATGGTGTAGGGCCTCCTGCTTGGGCAAGGGGTTGGACTAGAAGACCTCCAAGGTCCCTTCCAACTCTCTCATTCTGTATTCTAAGATACAGTCTGTAGGGAACTTTCCTTCGTTCTTATCTCTCAAAGTGTTTTTAATGTAAATTTAAGCCCCGTGCAGTTGTTAAGAGAGGAGGGAAGGATGTGACTCTCACGCACACACATCAAGCATGTCACTTTGGGTGCCAGGTTCGTAGCCTCCGTGGGGGAGGAGTACAACCGAATGATTAGGCCAGGGGTGTCCAACCTTGGCAACTTTAAGACTTGTGGACTTCAACTCAGCAAAGCTGGCTGAGGAATTCTGGGAGTTGAAGTCCACAAGTCTTAAAGTTGCCAAGGTTGGACACCCCTGGATTAGGCAGTCCTTTTTTTTTTTTTTTTTGCAACAGAAGTGAAACAAAGTGCGGTTGTTGGTTTTCTCTAGCATGTCAATAGCACCTGCTTCAAAGGAAGACAGACCCCAGGTTGTTCAGCTGGCTTAAGTGAGGTTGCAAACTTCCCCCTTTCCAGTCTGCTTACGTTGTTTCGCACTTCAGAGCTGCCTTCAGCTGCTTGCAAGGAGAAGAGAAAACCATAAAGGGAGGCACAAAGCCAAGCGCTCCTGTTTCTTGGACAAACACAAAAGTTTCGTTACTTTTCAGCCAGCTTGAAAGAAGAATGGTTAACATGGCCGGGAGGAATTACTGCATGGTAGGTTGAGAATAAAATAGTGTTAAGTCTAATTAGAAGGAAAAATTCCCGGCAAGAAAGAAATTTATTGGGATGGGATCGAGGAGAAGGTTCCCTTGGTCTGGATCACTCTCTGCTTTTTTATTCGATAGAATTGCGAATTGAAGTGTGCGCTTAGCTTAGGTGAGCACAATTCCCTAATCTTCTGATCTTCTAAAGAAGTTGCCCTGATGAGATTACCTAGTTTGGTCATGAAACGTCTGCAAGGAAGCCGCCAAGCTCAGAGAGCACCAAGGACTCCACAGTTCAAACCTGAGTTGCAAATATTCTCTTCTATTGGTCTAAGACAGGGGTCTTCAAACTTGACGGCTTTAAGACTTGTGGACTTCCGCTCCCAGAATTCCTCCTCCAGTCATGTTAGCTCAGGAATTCTGGGAGTTGAAGTCCACAAGTCTTAAACTTGCCAAGTTGGAAGACCCTTGGTCTAAGGTCTTCTGGCTAGCTGTGCTTGTCCTCTTCTTCACCGAAGAAACCTCCAAACACCCCCTGGAGATGTTGCCACCAATGTGATCCATTGTGAGCGTTCGAGATTTCATCAACGTTCTAAGCCATCAAGAGAACAATGCCGTCTACCACCAAAGTCATCCCACCAGCTCCAACACTGAACTCTCTGGAGATCGGGTTAAAGATCAAGAGAGGTACTAATACCACTCTAAAAAGCCTTAGTAAGGCCGCACCTAGAGTACTGCATCCAGTTTTGGTCACCACACTATAAAAAAGATGTTGAGACTCGAGAAAAAGTACAGAGAAGAGCAACCAGGATGATGAGGGGACTGGAGACTAAAACACACGATGAACGGTTGCAGGAACTGGGCCTGGCTAGTCTAGGGAAGAGAAGGACCAGGGGAGACAGGAGAGCATCTTCCAATATTTGAGGGGCTGCTACAGAGAGGAGGAAGGGGTCAAGCTATTTTCTAAGGCACCTGAAGGCCAGACAAGGAATAATGGATGGAAACTGATCAAGGAGAGATTCAACCTGGAAATAAGGAGAAACTTTCTAACAGTGAGATCAACCATCCAATGGAAGAGAAGTTGCCTTCAGAAGTTGTGGGAGCTTCATCACTTGAGACTTCCAAGAAGAAACTGGACTGCCATCTGTCAGAAATGGTGTAGGGTCTCCCGCTTGGGCAGGGGGTTGGACTAGATGACCTACAAGGTCCCTTCCAACTCTGATGATCTGTTATCTTAGTAGGAAAGAACATAAGAAGAGGACCTGCTGGATAGGATCTACTAGCCCATCTAGTCAAGCAGCCTATTGGTGAAGTAGCCAACAACCAACCTGAGCCAAGAGCCATTGATCTCCCAAGACTTCCATCAATTGGTCCAACTCTTGTTTTTTAAGCGAGACAAGTGCCTCACTGGCACATCATCTCAAGGCAGCAAATTCCAAAGTTTGATATATATATATATTCTGAGGTTCTCGCGGGTATTTGTATGTGTATCTTTGGTTATTCGGGTTTTCTCCCGCGTAAGATTGGAAGTATCTAGGCAATGTTTCGATGAAGTCTCATTCATCATCTTCAGGCTTGTGTCTTCGGCTCTGTGCTTCTCTGAGTGCTTCTCTGTGCTTACTGTGAGAAGCACAGAGCCGAAGACACAAGCCTGAAGATGATGAATGAGACTTCATCGAAACATTGCCTAGATACTTCCAATCTTACGCGGGAGAAAACCCGAATAACCAAAGATACACACACACACACACACACACACACACATATACTTTTGATGATCCTGATTCTATCCTTCAGGGCAGAAGGAAGCAGAACTTCCTGTTTTCAGGAAGCGCCTTTCACCGCAGGGTGAGGTGACCAGCGAGTAATATGGGTTGCAGTTGGAACAAGCAAGCAAAGGAGGGCCCACCAGAGCAGTGGTTGCCAATCAGTGGGCCGGGGACCACTGGTGGTCTGTGAGAACATGTTGGTGGTCTGCAGAGAAATGTCACCTCCCCCAAAGCAATTAATCCAGGCTGCGCAGGAACACAAGGCTGCGCCACCCACATGGCTCGTGGGAACACAAGGCTTGCATCATTTGCATTGCGAGCAACATGAGGTAGTGAGGGGAGGGGGGAAAGGGAGGAGGGGGGAACTTGCCCCACTCGCCCCACGTGCCTGGCCTGACTACCGAGCTGCTTCTTTCTGCTTCTTTCTTCTTCTGCTTTTGGCTGCACGCAAGGAAAGCAGCGGAAGTCTTTCTTTCTCTCCCACAAACTCTGCCAGAAATGAGTCTTTGGGACCCTGCAAGGCCTCCTGGGCCAAGAGGCTGCACTGGCATGACAAGTCTCACAAAGACTCATTTCTGGCGGAGTTTGGGGGAAAGAAAGAAAGACTTCTGCGGCTTCTGCTGCTTTCCTTGCATGAAGCCAAAAGTCTCCCACTCTCTCTCTCTCTCCCTGAGAACGGAGCTGGAGATGGTTTCCTGCAATCCCAAATAAAGAACGATTGATCGGTAGGAAAATGGGATGGGGAATTTTCCTGCAGACTCTTTTGGGGGATATTCCCAGGGTCTCTGGTCCGCGGGATTTAAAATTATGAGTTTGGTGGTCCCTGAAGTCCAAAAGGTTGGAGACCCCTGAACCAGAGGGTCCTTGTTGTGGGGCACTAGAAGCCTCCATCTCTCCCCGTCTTCTGGTTTCGGAGTGGGGGCAGAGAAGCATCACGAACACAACTTGAATGATAACAGGCAGACCACAACACTCTGCTTTCTCGTTTTCATTTTGAATGCTTTCTCGCCGCTTCTTCACTTCCTCCCTTCTGCATCTCCTGGTTTGGGGGGGTGGGACGGGGACGGTGGAAGTCAAAAGTCAACCGGGACACAGTACCACTCGTCTGAAGTGATGTAGGGTTTCCTGCCTAAGCAGGGGGTTGGACTAGTAGACCTCCAAGGTCCCTTCCAACTCTGTTATTCTATTCTAGTCTACCCCAGCAAAGGGCAGAGATTGGGGTTGGAGGGGGTGGAAGGTTTGCTTGTTCTCTAAGGCACACAGGATACAGTCACCTGGAATCTTAGGGAATTAGCCAATTTTAGGCAAGGCTTTTAAAACTTGCCTTGATGGTTACGGTGATGTGAGCAGGAGGAGAGTTGGATTGGGGGAGACCACAACACAGGGCAGCGCCAGCACCAATGTGTCTTTTGCTTTTTAAAAAAAAGTGTTATTTTTTTTTTACTTTCCCTTTTTTTTTTCTCTTCTCTTTGACCTTTACTGTACCTCAAAAATAAAAAAGAGAAAGAAAGAAAAAGAAAGAAGAGAGAGAGAGAAAGAGAGGGGAGGGAGGAAAGGAAAGGAAGGAAGAAAAGAGGTAAGGAGAGGGCAAGTACACTTCAAAAGGGGAGGAGGGGGAAGGAAGCGAGGGAGGGAGGAAGAGGAGGGGGAGGGAGGGAAGGAAGGAAGGGAAGAAAGAAGGGAAGAAAGAGAGGGAGAAGAAGGAAGGAAAGAAGAAAAGAAAGGGAAGAAAGGAGAGACGGAGAAGAAGGAAGGAAGGAAGGAAAGGGAAGGGAAAGGAAGAGAGGAGAGAAGAAG